ACCCTTCATTTTTCCAAGATAGGCAGTGATTAGATTACTGATTGTCTCCTGCATGCCACTGTAGGGAGACTTCTAATTGTTTAAGGCTCTGGTATGTGATGGACACAGAGCTCCAGAGCCTGGGCAAAACCAGACTAAAAGTGGAAATACCTGATAGTGCTTGCAGCTGTCCATTAATACAGTTTTCCTAGAGGAACCAGGGAGTGTCCACCATGTAGAGCAACTGTATTGGGCTGAAAAGCCCTTTGCAGCTCTCTGCTGGGCTGAGCAGTGGGAGGGTTCCCCAACTGCTCCAACATCATGGTGGCTCTTCCTGAAGGTAGTACAGGAGGATGGGGATTTACTCCTGCATGTGACCCTTGCTCTTGGTGGTGTCAAGCTGTCCTGGAGCAGGGCAGGGATACTGGAGCTGGGCTGGAGCCTCTGCTGAGATGATGGTTGTGCAGGGGGCTCAGTACTCACAGACTTAGGAAGAGGCTGTGGGCACTGTTCCCTACCTGCTGCAGGGACTGAGACTGCAGACCCCTTGGGTTGTAGTGATGCTGGAGATTAAAGGAGAAGTACAATTCTGTGTACAGATAAAGCTGCTGGAGCAGAGAGGGTTTTTGTTAAAGACCGATGGGGAGAGTCACTCTAGTAAAATATGCAGCCCTTCCAAGTGGGGACGATTAGGATGGAGCCATGTGAAAAGAGCAGTCACTGGTTCCTGATTGTGTGGTTTGGCTGAGACCGTGTGGTTTGTTTTGGCTGGGGGCTGACTGTGTTCCCTGGGCACCCTGTGCCTGCTGTAGCTGTCGTGCTTGTTCTGGGGAATGGAAAGGGCAGGAACATCTTGGTACAGGAATCCTTCCTGCCTGGGCTGCATGATGCTTTGCTGCTGTAGCACGAGCCATCACATCTTTGTGCCTTCTGTGGGATCTGCAGCATCCTGTGGGGATGCATTAGAGCGAGCTCTGCAGTGGCTTGTGCTGCTTTCCAAACTCTGCTGGAAATGGTGTGGACAGCACACATCCTCCTCAGTCTGCTTGGTCTGCCAGGCCTTTCCCCACAGCAGTGGTCCATGGACTGGCCCTGTGTGGTTCACCTGAGCCAGATGGATACTCTGGAGATGTCTTCTGTGCTGTGTTTGGATTAGATACAAGAAGCAACACCACTGGGATGCAGTGGGGAGAGATGCACTGAGGGACCTGCTAACTGCCTGCACCCAGGGCATGCTTGAGGGTGGGCTTGGGGGTCTGCCTGAGGACATCTCTGTCCTGTGCCCACTGGCAGCAGTCGCTGCTGTCCTTGCTGGGAGCGCAGGGTCGGTGCCGCAGGGTGTGGGAACAGCCGGTCAGGAAGCTCCTGGGTGTGTGTCTTTCCTGCAAGAGCCTCCTCCAACTGAGTCATCCTACGCCATGCCGATGCTGTGCTGATGGTCCCGCGTGCCCTCCTCCTGTGCCACGGCTGCAGCCCTCGGCTCCCTGCCCGGCCAAGCTGTCCCCTGTGGGCCGTGCACCAGACCCTTCTTGGAAGGTCAGTGCTGTGTTTGCTTTTGGGTTTGGCTTCAGTGTCTGCCAAAAGCTGAGCTGCCAGATATGTAAAACTGGAGGAATTTTGCACCTGATGGAGTTTGCTCAATTTACCAATCTTCTGAGGAGATCCCAAATGTGCTTTACCTCCAGGGTGGGAAACTCATTTTTAAAGTGGAGGATCTCCCCAGGAATCCTCTCCAAACTGCTGTGTACGGTAGAACATCTTGTTGTGGCAGAAGGTGGTGGCAGGTGGAATGTTTCTGGGCAAGATGGGGCAAAGAACCCCAGCTCTGCCCTGGGATTTTGGTGTTTGAAATGCCTTGAAGAGGTGTGATCTGTCACCTTCACTGGTGGGCAGCATAAAAGCTGTTTGACTGCGAGAACCCAGTGATGATTTGGTTCCTTGCATTAATTTTGTTTTGATTTTCTTTTTTCCCTTATTGTTGGCATGTATAATATAGCAAGACCAGCCTCAGTGCTGCAGCAGGGATCTGAGTGTGCATTGCTGTGGCAGATAAACACGTAAAAAACATTCGTGCTCAGGCAGGATATGTGTCCAGGTACAAGTGGTGCTTGGCTGCTCCCTGAAGCAAGAGCTGCCCTGGGATGGTGGCTTTGCAGGTCAGGCTTTTGCTTTGCACCCAAATTATTTCAAATCTAGCAAAGCTTGTGCTATGTATAAGCAGGTGATGCCTCCACAGCCGTGCAGTGGGATCGGCAGGCAGTGATCAGCTCCCTCATCAACATGGAACATGAGCAAAGCATGGAAATTGAACCAAAGTGGGGGGGCTTAGGGCACCCCTGGGAGTTGCCTTGCCAGTGGCTGTGACCCTCTCCCACTCTTGGGAGCAGCCGTTTGCCCTGTGGCTGCTGCTGAGAGCCCTGCATGGCTCATAAAGTCCAGTACTCAGATTAAGAAATGTCAGAGATTCAGTTTCCTGGGCAACCATAATACGGCCCCATGTGCAAGGGCATTAGGATGTGCCCGGTAATTGTGTGATCCCTGCTGTTTGCCCCATTCCTGGTACTGGCTGGATCATCCAGACCCTCAGTCTTGGGACTTGAGGCACCATTCTCGTGGTTCATGGGCCCCCTTGTGCATCCCGAGGCTGTGATGCTCCTTCCCACCTTTTCTGGGAAGGGTGGGAGTAATTGCCTTCCCACCTTTTCTGTGGCTCTCTGCTGTAATATCTAACCATTTAAAAAAACAAACGGATTTATGTTCTCATCACCCTACATTTGAGAGACCTTGCTCCTATGAAGTGGCATCCTTGAGGCAGTGGAGAAGCAAACCAGTGTGGCAAATTCTCCCCAAACCCAAGGAGCTTGCCTCTAACCAGAGCCATTTGCTCTGGGTCCAAACTGAACCCATCCTGGCACATCCTCTGGCAAAACCTCTGCCAGCAAAGTGCATCTAATCTCTTCTGAGTGCCTCTGCAAACTTCTGCAGGTAAAATACCCAATTTTAGGGGTGTTGACAGAGACTTGTTAGGATTCTCCACCATCCTCTGCTTTTTAGACCTGGAAGCATCTGTGTGGGGGCCACTCTGTGAGTCTGCTGGAGCTTGTGGTTTTTTTCCTGGGAAGCCAGACCTAAACATGAGGAAATACATTTGGAAATAAGGTTGGGTTTGATGATATTGGAGTTCTTTTCCAGTCTTAATGATTCTATGACAGTGACCACTGCATGCAGGTTAGCCTCTCAGCCCTGTCTGAAGCTGCTGTGTATGTATGGCACAGAGGGAGGGTCCAGGACTGGCACTAGTAGCAAGATAGGTCTGTGCCTGTCTAGGAAATGTGGTTCATGGTAGGTTTGAATGTGATCAGCTTGGGCGTGGGGCCTGAGGAACAGACAGCTAACCCGAGGAGAGTCAGCAAACTGCATTTCACAGCCCCCCAGTATGCTTGGAGCCATGAGAGCTCTGGTAAGAGTTAGCATTGGACATGGTGTAGCCCATTCACCCACCCTGGCTGTTGAGCTGGTGCATTTGTGTGTGTAAGGGATGCTGCTGGCATGCCCATGCCTCCATTGTCTTGAGCACATGTGTGGAGATGCTGTTGATGTCACAGGGCTCTGCAGGTGTTGCGATGCAGCAAGAGCCTCTGCAGCTTTTGAGGCATGGGAGAGCCCATGGGTTGTCCTGGCTGTTTGGAGCAGCTTCACTAAGCTCTCTCAGGCAGCAGTGGGAAGCAAGTCCTGGTTGACCAAGCAGCTGTAAAAGCCACCAGTGACTTGTGTTTCCCATGGGCAATTTTGCCCTGGTAGTGGTGAGCAAAGGCCTGCAGACGGCTGGGCTCAGCACTGCTCCTTGAGTCCCCAGTGCCTGAGGGGGCCTGAGTGATGTTGTGCCACCCCTCGGTGAGAGCAGGTTGCCTGTCTCCCCCTGCAAAGCTGGGCTGGCTGCTCCTGAGCCCTGTCCTGGCTCACTGCCCCCTGCCTGGGCTGGAGCCACTGCTCTGACACCGTCTATCCTCTGCTGCCTTGCCGAGGGGTGAGAGCCTCTGCAGCTCCTATGTCTGAACCCTGTTCTGCTCCTGTGGGGCAGCTGGGTTGTGCTCTGGGGCTGATCAGCTACTTGCTGGTGCCCTGGCACAGAGGCACCAGGCTTGGAGAGCTGACCCAGTTCCCCATGCATCAGCTGCCCATGGAGCTGGGACATTTAGGGAGGAGGTGGTGAGCCAGGCATGGAGAGCCGTGTGCCTCATGTAGCTCACAGGGGTGCCAAGTCTTGGGATCCCATGGAGATGTTTACAGTTCCAGTTCCGCTTCCCTTTTCCTGCTGGCTTTTCTGTCACAGGCTATTGTTGGGCATTTTGCGCAGGAAGGAGGGAGAAATCTTTTGTTTTAAGCTGATTATTGGAGCTGCAGAGGAATGTAAGAGCAGTCGTGGTCTCTGTGGCTGGCCAGGAGCAGGGCAGCATAGTGGTGAAGATGGAAGCTGGGACCAGGTAGGATTAAGCAGCTGCCACACCATGCCTGGGACATGTGGTCCTTGCTATGGGACATATGCACAGTCTGTTTTGTGGTAGCAAATCCCCCCAAGCTGGGGGGTTTGTGTCCTGGTAGGTGAGCAGACCCTGCTAAGGTGCTTGGGTACAGTTGCTTGCTGCTGGAAATATTGCCTGGCCCTGCTCTGGGAGCAGGCTTTGGGGCTGGAGGTGGGATGTACAGCTCCAGGCTTCTTGGGGACTGCAGGGCTGTGTGATGGGGTGCTCTGACTGGAAAGCTGCTGACATGCTAGAGCAGTCATGTGGCTCCAGTGCTGGAGGGGACTGAGCTCTGGGACATGCCTCATATTCTACTGTAGGATCCTCTCCTTTTCACTAATAAGCACAAATCTCAGGAATTTAGTGCTGAACCTGTGACATGGGCACTGGAGAAGCTCTTGGTTCTGCTTCCTGGAGGAAGGTTCTATCTTGTCTTACTTAACTTAGGATGTGTCTGGGGATGCTCTGGAGGCCTGGGAAGGAGTGGAGAGGAAGCCATAGGCTATTCTTAGCCCTTTTGTTGGAAAAGCTCTTTGAATGAGTGCACAGGAGCCCTGGAAAATAACCAGTGAGTTCCTAGTTGTGCCAGTGCCAGCTGACACCCCAGTTTTGGGATCTGTACCCCTTGTCTGCCTTGGGAAAGGAAATGTGGCTATGTGCAGGAGAGCATCTGTGTGCCATGGAGGGGTAGAGCACTGCTGGCAGCCCTGTGCTGAGTGGGGACCGGGCCAGGGCATTTATGTGGGTGCTAGCAGTTGGGGCTTGATGGTGAGGGAGGGGCAGAGCTGCCTTCTGCTCTGCTTGGCTCCACCTCAGCTTTCAGTACAAAGGCTGGAGCATTTCCATAGCCAAGTGCCGGTACCTGGAAAGCTGTCAGCTGTCTGCAGGGCTCTGCAGGGCTGCCATGGTGTGGGTTTGGGTTCTCAGTGGTCACTCTGGAAAGCTGTCAGCTGCCTGCAGGGCTCTGCAGGGCTGCCGTGGTGTGGGTTTGGGTTCTCAGTGGTCACTCTGGAAAGCTGTCAGCTGTCTGCAGGGCTCTGCAGGGCTGCCATGGTGTGGGTTTGGGTTCTCAGTGGTCACTCTGGCTACTGCTGGAGGAGCTCATGGTGAGCTCTGCCTTCCACCTCCCAATAAAGGCAGAGAGTGCCTTAATCCTTTTCCTATTCTTCCCCTCTTCCAGCTGGCTGTTCTGGAGGACTATGCAGATCCCTTTGATGCGGCACAGGTGGCAGGTAGCCAGGCAGGGCTGGAGAAGGTGATGGAGAATGATGGATATATGGAGCCATATGAAGCCCAGAAGATGATGGCTGGTAAGGTGGAAGGCTTCACACAAAGACCACTCTTTACACCTTTGGTCCCTGCGTTTGGTGTACTCTGTTCCTTGCAGCCTGTGACAGCATCAGCTCCCCCACATAAGGCAGACATGGGTTGGGTGATGGTTCTGGTGGGGGACAGCCATTTTTCAGGCAAATTTTCTCAGTTTTATCCTTGTGTGCTGGGTTTGCAAGAGCATGCAAAGGCTGTCTGAGCACTGCAGGCACATCTCTCCCTGCAATGCTGTCCCCCAGGACCCCAGTTGCCAGGTTGAGTCAGGAGAGACCTGATATTCCATGTATCTGGCTTAAAACTAAGATGGATGTGGGAGCTATTTAATTCAGTTAGGACTGGGCCAGAACATGCTGTGTCTGCTGCAGCAGCAGGGCTCCCAGTGGGCCTGTCTAGGGCTGGAAAGCTGGTGAGCTGGGAGCATGTGCTCCTCCTGAAGGCAGTGCTCAGGGTCACCATGCTGGCTCTGGCTCTGCTTTGCAGCTCTGTGGTTTTCCTGGAGTAAGTGGTTTCTGGAAAGCTCATGTGGCTTTTTGAAGTAGTCCATTATATTTCTTGGAAAAACCAGCAAGCAATGAAGAGGCTTCTTGTGCCGATGGGAGAGACTTTGTTTTGCTTGAGGGAAGGGCGTTTCATTAAACCAACTATTCTGGGTGTCCAGGGGAGAAACCCAGCCTCACTGCTTGCAGGAAGTCAGGCTCAAGGTACTCTGGACCCCATGGACCCCATTTTGCCAGGCTGCCCAGGAGTGGGGGTGTGGACTGTGGGGATCTTGGTGTTGCTGAGCAGCTCTCCTACTCCTGGCAGCTGCTTGCTGTCTCCTCCTCTGTTGATGCTCCCTACCCCATTTTACTACGGGTGACATTGATCCCTGTCATCTAGCACTGTTTGGGGAACCATGGCTGTGTTGGGCAGAAGGGTCATGGTCTTTTCCCTCTTCTCTGGGTAGAGATCCGCCAGAAGGGCTTACGGGAGGCTCCCGCCCGGCCGCTGCACCTCTATGACACTCCCTATGAGCCTGTGCTGGACATGGACAGTGACTGCTCAGCTTGCCCCAGGCCCAGGGAGTCCCGGCTGCCCGAGGATGATGAGCGGCCACCAGAGGAGTATGACCAGCCCTGGGAATGGAAGAAGGAGCGGATCTCCAAAGCCTTTGCAGGTGAGTGATGGGAGCAGCCATAAAGCAAACAACACTCTTTGTGAAGCTCGATGTTTGGGGTTCCTTGATCTTCTGGGGCTCAATAATGTTGGTCTCTGCATTTTCATAGCTCAGGGAGTGCTTGTGCTCTTGCAGAAGCTGTTTCTCTGAGCAGGGAGCCAGGCTGGACGGAGTGATGGATAGAGCTGCCTTGGTAACCTGTCCAGCACCTGTCTCCCATTGGCTCTTCCATGCTCTGACTGATCACAGCCTCTAGTGCAAATTAACACCCTCAACCTTGCACTGCAGGGGTAGGTTCAGCCCTGGGCTCAAGCAGATCCCTTCTTCCTCAGGGCAGGAGGATACCCAAGGAGCCTTCGTCCAGCCCCCCTGACCTATTTATCCATGCTGTGGGATCGATTGTGTTTGTGTTTGGTAATGAGGAAATCCATGCTGTGCATTAGTGCTGGCTCCTTGCCGGTGCTGGCTAATTGCTATGCTCTTATCTAGGATGCATTTTAATTGCAGCTTTGTGTGTCTGTGCTGCAGCTGGTGCTGAGGGTGCTCAGGCTGGTGGCACTGTGTGGAGATGATGGCAGAGAGAGATGTTGAAATTTGGGGTTGGGGAGTGGTTCACTTTTTGGGTTTGGGCACTGTGAGCTGGAGATGTGTGCTGGGCTCAGTGTCATAGTGCCTACTTGTGCTTGGGGCTACCAGGTCCCACAGCACCCCGTGCCGAGGATTCGGTGTTTGGGCTCCACCATGGAACACCGTGCTCTGCTGGGCTGGGTTTGTGCTGAGGTGTCTGGGCTTTGGATGAGCCGCCTTGCTTGATATCCCCAGGTGGAGGTGGTGTGTTCACAGGTCTGGCTCACATGTAGATGCATGTGGGTGCTGCCCAGGGTGCTTCAGGCCTGCTCCGAGTCCCAAGGGAGTCAGGTTGTTGTTCTCTGGGCCACTCTGGGACTGCTGCCTGTTTTTTTCTGAAGCCAGAGCAGATCCTGCTGTCTCTCATGCAGTGTTTTTTCTCTCCAGTGATGCCATAATGTCTCTGCTGGCCCATTCCCCCTTTGGGAGGGTCTATAGGACCTCTGCTGATGGGCAGCTGCTACTGGTGCAAGGCTGCAACCCACTGATGCCTGGCAGGGAAATGTGGACCCTGTGGGTCTCTGGGAGGTTCCTAGGGCAAGACAGATGCACAAGCAGGACAGACGGCAATGGGATGCTTGGCCAAGACCCCCAGACAGACAAGTATGTGGAACGGGGTGATTGCAGGCTCCTCCAAACCCCAGAGAGGGTTGGCTGGAAAAACTGACGGGAGGAGCAGGGTCTCTCCATTGGGAATGTGCCCCACCTCAGGCCTGTCTCTGCTTGGTACTGTGGGAGGGGATGAGATGGCCAAGCTGATGCAGGGCTCCCAGAAATGTAGTCCTCATGTCTTTCCCCATACAACTACTCTCCTTCTATGTGGGCCTCTGGTGTTGCTGATGGTTTTTTCTAAATCCTTTCTTTCTCTCTCTCTCTTTCTTTCTCTTTCCCACACCCTCCCCACCTCCTCGTCCAGTTGAAATCAAGGTCATTAAAGACCTGCCATGGCCCCCGCCGGTGGGACAGCTGGACAGCAGTGAAAGCCCCCCGGATGGGGAGGCTGGTGCCCCCATCCCTCCGCAGCACGGCCAGCACAGCTACGACGACGCCAATGGTGGGTCTTGCGTGACAGCGGCGTGTCCGGGGGGGCTGCAGCCAATGCTTGCTGTGACTCTGGACCGCTGTGATGCCTTGGGGCTTGTCCTGGCCAGTGCCAGACATGACTCTCCTCCTCTGCCCTCCCCCAGCTCCTCCTGGCCCCTTCAGTCAGGTGCTGGACACCAGGTGTTTGTCCTGCTGTACCTTCTGCTGCAAAGAGGCACTAGCTCTTTGGTGTCTCTTTGCTCTCAGCGGCAGAGCTGCTCTGGGGGATTATTCCATGGCATGGCAGAGTCGTTACTGTCCCTTTTGTTCTCTCCTCTTTGCTTCTAAATTCCCAACATTTGATGGCTGCTTGTAAGGTCTTCTCAACAACTGCACTGAGTATTTAGCTGATGTTTTCTTTCATTGACTGACTTGTAATGCCCAAGTCCCTTACAGGTGTGTTAGCAGCTAATTCAGATCCCAGTGCTGAAGCTGGGGCTGTTTTTTTCCCTCTTCATTATTTAGCACTGCTCCGTTTCCTCTGCTGTTTTATTACCTTGCTGCTTAGTGTCAGGAGGTCCCTGTGGATTCTGCATTCTTGCTTTTGCTATCCTGAGCAGCCAAATCTCCCAGGTACACTTTGTCATCTCAGGTTTGCCTTGCTGTGAAACCTTTTTTGTGTGCGCTGAGCACAGAGCCCCTGGGTAAATCCCCTTTGGATGCTGATGGCAGTCTCACTTATGAAAGCCAAATATTGCTGCTTCCCTTTTAACCCTTTATTAATATTTCAAAGACCTTGCTCTTATGCTGTGGTAAATTAGGATTTTGCCAAGGGCATTAGGTGGGGGGAATTTGTGGAAAGCCATTACTGGATTGTTACCAGTGGGGAGCTAGGATGCTTTGCCTTTTCCTGTGTAGTGGCGTGCTGTGCCTGCCTGTGTGTCACTAACGCTGTCTGGGTGGGCACTCACTGCAGTGCCAGCTGCAGATGTCTGATTTCCTTATCTGCAGCTACCTAGATCCCTGCAGAGCTTCATAAGATAAAAGCCAGCGTGGCCTTTGCTGCCTCCTGGGTGGGCTTGAGCACAGGCTGCAGGTGATGCCTTATTTTGGTGCTGATGGTGGGGGGACTCGAGAGCAAAGTGGTTGCTCTGTCAGGGCTTTGTTGGGTATTTCCCAAATCTGTAGGGATGCTGCAGGCTGACATCAGTCCTCAAAAAGAAAGGTCTTGGCAGGTGGGAACTTTCTGATCCTCTTCCTGCAATGAATGCAGGTGTCAAGAAAAATTAATCTCTTTGTTATGCAGCCTCTTCTTTTCCCCTATGATTTATTATCCCCACAGTTGCTCTGACATGCATCCTGCTCCTGATGAACACATCACTTTGTCATTTTTCCTGGTTTTAGCAACACGGAATCTCTTTTTTTTTTCTCCAACTTGCCTTGCTTTGTTGTATTAAGTTTATCTTGCCAGAATTTTGCCTCATTTTCTATTTCCCATGCCTGAGGGTGACTTGAATGTCTTGAAGGATGTCTTCTTCCTCCTAAGGGCTTGTTTTTAATATCCTGTTTAATCATGCACCTGCCTCTGTCTCCCTCTGACAGGTGCAATGCATTTATTTTGAGCCTGTAACGCAATGACTTTGTGCCAGCAGCAAACACTTGGGCTGTTTGATTGTCTGGCTTTTTAACGATTGCCCCAATTTTTTAAGGTGATGAGTTGAAATTGAGGCCTGTGTGTGATGTACAAGGGCGAGCATGGTTGGTGAAAAGCCGGAGTGCTGCAGAAGCAGGGCTTGTCAAGCCATAATGCCAGGCAGCTCCTCCTTGAGCTGTGCTCAGGGGGTTTTATACCATGCTAAGCTGCAGAGGATTTTGGCTGGGTTTGCTTTTGGCTGCCTTCCTCTCCTTGCAGTGCTGGGGGGGCTGGAGTCCTGCTCACCTGCATAGGGCCTGGACAAGGTGTCACTCAAACAGCTGCTTTATAGGATGCCCTGCTAGAGAGGAAAACATCCCTCTGGCTATTTTTTGCCTCCAGCAGCCAGGAAGCATGGGAAGTTGTCTTGTCTGGGGCATTTGAGAAGTCCTAGGGCATTTCTGGGCTCGGCCACCTCCAGGGTGACTGTGCTGCCACAGTGGCAGCCCCACACTGTGGCAGCTCTGCCCGATCAATAAGTAATTTGTGCAAGGGGGTTGGTGGTATAGGGAGAAATAATGAACTCTTGGGAGGAAGGAGAACCAATATTGTTAATGCTGAAATCATCCTGCGTGGAAATAACAGGTAGTGGGAGGCCAGGTCCCTGGTGCCCAGCTCGGTCAATCCCCCACACTCATGGCTGTGGCTGGGCTGGTGACAGGCAGGTGGCAGTGTCAGGGAGGTACCTGCAGTCAAAATATCCCCTTCCCACCTCGGGGAATTGTTTTTTCATCCCTTGTTTATTTATGTCAGCAGAATATGTCCATTGGTTCCAAACTGACAGCTTCCTTTAGCTCTGTCATCTCTTCCTCTGAGATTGGGGAACCTTTTCTTGCTACATCTCACTAAACCCTGTACCACAGCCATTGAATCTATTTTTGCATTAGCAAAACCTCCTGAGCTTTTGAAACCTCTCTGGAAATGTCTTCCATGGGCTCAGCTGCTGGCTCCAGCCTGGGCACTGCAGTGAGCAGCAGCCCAAGAGCTGCCCTGCCCTTGCTTAGACCAGGGGGATGGGGCAGTGTGAGGTGACCCAGTGTGATGCAAGTGGCTCTGGCTCTTCCTGCCAGAGGAAGTTAGAATCCCAGCATCTGATGTGTCTGTCTTGCAGGTCCCTCGGAGGGGCTGGGGTACAGCCGCACCTCGCCCTGCAGGGAGGAGAAGGCCAGGGCTGTCCTCAGGCATGGCTCCAGCAACCTCAAGAGCACAAAGACACTGACAGCTGAGCCCGGCCCCTTTGTCGGGGAAAGGATTGACCCTGCCCTGCCCCTGGAGAGCCAGTGGTGAGTCCTGCCTGTCTGGTGCCTGACCCTTCCACCTGCACCAGGGATCCCTGTGGCCACACCATGAGGAGCCCTGGGGCAGACTTGCTTCTTCCTTTCTCCCTTGGCTCCACATTTCACCCTGTTGTCCATGGCCCTTGTCTCCCTACCCCAGTGGTGCCACCCCCTTCCCTCTCCCTGAGTGTAGCTGGTGTCCCTGGGGAGGTGGTGGCATTGCTGCTGCCCCAGGGCAGAGCCCTTGCCACGGTGTGTGCTCTGTGCCCAGCACAGCAGATCCTCTCCCTGCAGCTGGTACCACGGGGCCATCAGCCGGACGGACGCGGAGACGCTTCTGAGGCTGTGCAAGGAGGCCAGTTACCTGGTGCGCAACAGCGAGACCAGCAAGAACGACTTCTCCCTCTCCCTGAAGTGAGTGAGCCTGCCGGGGCTGGGGGGTTGTGGACCCACAGCAGAGGTGACTCCTAGGTGGGTGCCTCAGGTGAATTGTGCCCATGCTAATTGGCTAACTATGAGATGACCACGAGTGGGCAGAAATGGCTGCAGTATGAAGTCCACACTTTTCTGTGGTGTGGCACGGGTTTCTGGTTTGGTGTCTGGCAAAAACATTTCTCAGGAAGATCTGGAGGCCCACTGCCCTTCCTTGCAGTGCTAATAATCCCTCAGATGGATCAAATGATGTGCCTCTATTCTCAGTCAAATGTGTCTGGTTACAGCTTCCAGTTCTTTTTTTTCTCCCCCTTTTTTTGTAGCTTAGTTTTATGGGAACAGAAAGTCTGTAAAAACACACTGTGGATGGAAATGTGGGTACCTGTCCTTCCCTCCCCAGCACACAGATCCATTGCTCAGCTGTAGAGAGGGCTTTACCCTGCTCTGGTTTGCCAGTAGGGAAACCTCATCCCCACAGCACAGCTTGGTTTCTACTTACAGTTTTTGGGGAATCTTTATATTCTCCCCAAGTTTTCTAGATTCCTTGGATGCCAAAATTGCATGAAGCATCTCTGCATGTGTCCTGACAGGGGGAACTGCCCATAGCTCCTCATCCAGCTCTTTGCTGGGCTCTTGGAGCAGCACGAATCCACAAAATCAAAGCTGTTACTGTCTGAAGATGATGATGAATGAGCAAATACCTTCTTGCTCTTCGGCTGGACAGCTATATTAGCTCTGTTCCTGACAGATGGGAAATAAGTATTCATTGAGCACTTCAGCTATCTCTGCCCAACAACAGCCCCTCCAACCCTACGCTTTTCTCAGGATACTTTGAGTTTCCCCAGTGGTCTCTACCTGCATTGCTCCCAAGGGGTTTCAGCCTCTCTGTTTATTTCCCAGTGGCACAGTTATGAATTAGATTGCTCTCTCCACATTTTTTTCACTCTTTTTGTTGCCTTCAGCACCAAACCAGGGCAGGAGCTCCACTGATCAGCCAATTAGAGCTTTCAGATCAGCCAGTTAACCCTTCTGGAATAGCTCCCTTCTTTCCCTTTTTTTTGTCCGAATTTTTACTGATGTTTTAATTTTCTGGGTTTTTTCCTTGCCCTGGCTTGTGAGCCATTTTGGAGCTTCTCCTGGTTGGTGAGCTGCATTTGAAGCTGCAAGAGGTCTCACCATTGCCTTGTGAGTGGCATTAGCCAGCATCTGTGTTGGAAAGCCTGGGAGGTGGCATTCCATCACCAAAGGTGGCTTTCCATCACCTCTCCACAAGCCAGTCACCTGTTTCTTAGTACTTTTCCCTTACTTCTTGCCATCATCCTTAGTCTTATGGCAAAATCCTCCACGCAGATGGCATGTGTGGCTAGGCCATGGTGTGCAGCAGTATCCCACCTTCTCCAGCCCATCAAGGAGTTGCTTAGGGATTGCCTGTTCTTGCAGAATTTGTGGAGAACTCACAGTCCCAGGAGTGGGATTTTTACTCACTGCCTTTCTCTGTAGAGCCTGTTCAAGGAAAATCCCCTGGGATGCTTTCGATATAGCTGTAAGCTGGCTGTCTGCAGCTCTATTATCTTTTTTAACTTTTTTTTTTTTTTTTTCCTTGAGGAAGGAGGCAGAGCCAAGGAGATGGTCTGAAAAGCATTCCAATGCTGACCTAAAGTATTTTGGTGTTGCTTTAAAGGAAAATATGCACAAGAGAGATCAGCCAGGAGCAGGTCAGGTAGCTGGAGGGATTTAACCCTGCTGTGACAGTCCTCACTGGTCCAGGCTAGGCAGCCCCACGCTGCCTGTCATGGATAGGGTCATGTCATTGCCTTAAGTATTTAGAGAGTGAGTCCCTCCTGGCTTGTGCCTCCATGAGAGTAGCTGAGGCCACACTGCAAAGCTTTGTGTCCTTCCTTGTGCCTGAAGAGGTGCTCAGCAGGAGCAGCACCCACCTGCCCTTGTCCTGGCTGCTGGTGTTAGCAGCCTGTTCCCTCAGTCATCTTGCTAGGGGTGTGATCTTGTGACATCCCTGAGCTTGTGACAAAGACCTGTGGAGTAATTTGGGCTAAACTCAACCAGTATCAGCCCTCCATGGTTCCGTGTGGCAGCGCTCTGGTTCCCTCCCAACTGGGACACAAGACACAGCCAAGCTATTGCTTTTCCTCAGCCCATGTTGGAGGGCTGTGGCTGTCTCTCAGGACAGCTGGCTCCTTGCTCCTGTCTCTAAATGGATTGCAGACCCATTCTGCTAATGCAGCTGGGCTGTCCATTATGGCCCGTCTCCAGCCGGGGGGATGGGGCCAGGCTGTGCAGCACTAGAAGCAGCTCAGCATCACTGATGAGGTCCTGTCTGCTTTTAAGTCATCAATATTTTGCCATAATGTGCAATCCAGACGCTGCAGACAGGCTGCGGCTCTCCTCGGAGACGCAAATTAATAGCAACAGGGCCATTAGTCCTTCACTTGGAATCAGCGTTTGTGGCAAGATCTGCCTGCACAGCTTGGTGTGGCTTGGTGCCCGTGCTGTGCTGGGAAATGTTCTTGCTGTGCTGAGCGGGTTTTATGGAGCCTGCAGTGGTGGCATGGGGAGAGGGGGAAGGAGAAAATCCTTTGGCTGTGGGCCAAAGGAGAAAAATCTGGTTTGCCACGGTGAGGCTGGAGATCTGGGAGCTGAGGGGATCCTGTGAGAACCAGAGCAGTTACAAAAGGGACTGTCACATGCAAGGAGCAAAAGCCACTACCCCTCCGTGACCCTACAGCAAGTGGCCCTGCTGCTCTTGCTCAGGTGATGCTTTCCCTACCACACACACCTGGAATGGGCCCTACACACCCCACTGCATGGCCGTGCTTCCCAAGGGGACACTGTGCAGCATCATTGTCCCTCCTTGGATCTGTAGATTTTCTTGAAGTTGGCCAGGAGCAGGATGGTGCAAGCAGAGCCATGGCTGCAGACAGGAGCCAGCAGTGTCCCCCTCAGCTGCAGGAGCAGGCTGCTTGTGTCAGGGGGTCAGGAGATGAGGGGAGGCTGGAGCAACTAACCCCCTAACCCTGCCTTCATCTGTCCTTGCAGGAGCAGCCAGGGCTTCATGCACATGAAACTGTCACGGACACAGGAGAACAAGTACGTGCTGGGTCAGCACAGCCCGCCCTTCGACAGCGTGCCAGAGATCATCCATCACTACGCCAGCCGCAAGCTGCCCATCAAGGGGGCTGAGCACATGTCCTTGCTGTACCCGGTGGCTATCCGTACCCTATAGTAATCACCCCCACGAGCCAGGCTCAAGGCTGGCTGCACCCAAAACTGGCCCATCCACAGGGCTGAGCGCCGCTGTGCCAAGGATGGGCTCCAGACCGTCAGCCCATCAGCTGCTCGCTGGGCACAGCCGGTGCTGTCGGGGATTGCTGCAGCCGGGCCCCTCGTCCTGCTCTCCCAGGGGCTCCCGTGCACTGGTTTTGTGCTGGCATGGCACTGGAAGGACCTCCTGTGCTAGGAGCTGAGAGGGGCTCGCCAGCTGTCCACACCTCCACACCTGCCTCCTTGCAGAGTTTGGGATGCCAGGACTGGAGACTGGAGCTGGGACCTTGGAGAGTCCAGGGAGGGGGGCAGTGTGTGTGAGTACGGGGATAAATCGTCTGGTAGCAGGCTTGAGGTACCTCCATGAGGGTGCCTAGCTCTGCCCATGAGAGACAAAATGGTTGTGCCCGCAGGTAAGGAGGCTGGCAGGGGTGAGCAGGACCTGCCTGGGGCCAGCAAGGCATGCAGAGTGTGAGGCAGGCTGCCCTTACTGCACTGGTGCTCAGTACTCACTGCCATCCTTTGCCAAACGTAAACAGTGACCGGCCTTGGCCATGTGTGCAGCACCACTGCCTAATAAAGCGGTGCATGGTTGTCTCCTGCTTCATGGGACTGGACTGTGTGCCTACAACCCACCATGAGTGGGGGATCAGTGTAGCAAAACAGTGGAAAGGGAAGTTTTGTTAAACAAAAGCTTTCAGGGAATTGATTTTTCCTGCACCATTGGATACACTGAGAATGACACGCCTGTCCAGCCAGTGCACTCCTCTGAGACACAAGGGACAAAGGATGCTGGTGGTCGTGTCCTTGCCATGACTTTGAGACCATTTGTGGGCAGTGATGAGCTGATTTTGGACTTGCCTGTTACTCCCTGTAGAAGAGGGTGCTCTTTGGGATCTTTTGCATTATTGTTTTCCTTCACCTCTCATAAATCTTAGGAAAAGTCCCTGAATTTCACAGAGCTCCTGATCTCCTCTGAGAAATTATTGGCTCCACTCCTGTTGTCTTCCTGACACCTTGTCTTTGGGCCAGCTTGCTCCTCTTTTTTTTTGGTTAAACCTCTCTGTGTTGCTCTGTACTGTTTCATACATACCTTGCCTTTTAACTTTGTTCCTGGTGTTGGTCCTATACCCATGCACATACATTTCCTCTATCCATGCTTCAGCCTAAGCTCCATCCTGCTGTTACTCCCCAGTAGCACATTCCCTTTCCCTTCTGCTCGCTGGATGGGGATGGCAGCAGCAAATTCACTACTGGACCAGCAAAATCTTTTCTATTAGTGGAGTAAAGCCCTTGGGCATTGCTGGGATGAGTTAGCAGTGACCTGGTGAAGGCTTTGTGAAAAAGCATCATCCTCCCTTCTGCCTGCTGCCAGGAAGAAGCTGTCCCTGCTGGTTGCTGGGGGACACTGAGGTGATTGATGGGACTGTGGGGGTTTTGTGTGGGTGAGTGCTGCAGCCACTGCAGGAACCCTGCTCTGCCATCCGGGGCTTTGGGGTTTTTCAGACTCCGTCTTAGCTGAGAGATGGCTGTCCGGGCTGCCCTGCACAGTTTTGAGCTGCTGTGGGGGGCCATGGGGCATGGCCAGTGTGGTCTGTGAGTGCACCCCGTGTTTGGGAGCTGCAGAAGTGTGGTGGGTTGGTCCAGGATGCCTCAGCCTCTGCTGCTCCTTAAAAGGCAGCGGATTGAGCTGGCCGGTGTCTCCTTACAGCCCACTTGGCTGCTGGCAGCTCTGGCTGCTCTCTCCGTCCCAGGGAGGCATTTTGTCCAGCGGGGATGGAGATGACTCCAGTGGGAGGGCTTTTCTCCCAGAGCCTGCAGGAAGGGCTGGAGATGCAGAAATCTGCAGTGATGCCGCTGGGAGCCCTTTCTGCACTTAGATTTCAAGTGCCACTTAGCAGCCCCGCTGTGCCCTGATTGCTCCAGTGAAGAGCTTGTCATGATCCTTTGCCTTCTTGGAAGCTGTGTGTGGGGAAAAAGAGGCTTCTGGTATCCATGCAGTTCCCCACATAGTGTGGGGCTGTTTTCCTGAGGAGCTGTGGCAGGGAGCAAACTGCTTGGGAGGCAGTGCTGGCTGTGCAGGCTTATGGTGAAATGCTGCAGCCTGACTCCATCTCAGGAGCATCTCTGCTGAGCACAGATGGGATGAGAGGAAGGAAACCTGTGTGCATTGCACCAGCTGCCCAGAGCCAGTCATGGACCAGCAGGACTGTCCTGCAGCTGGGCTGTCTGTGTGTATCCAAGTGCTTCAGCAAAATGGCTCTTGGTCATTGCTGTGGGAATTACATCTCTGCTGAGCCCTTTCCTCTCCAGGCTGAATAAGTGAAATTCCCTTGTTCTACCCCTGACCATCCTCAATAGGACGCTCTCACTCTCTTCCTCTCTTAATGTACTTGGAAACAGTATCCAGGTGTGGTCTCACCAATGCCACATAAAGGGAGATGAGATAACCCCTTCCTTTGTTCTGAGCACAAAAAATATATGACTCCAGTTTCAGCATCCTCGGTGGTGGGAGGTGAACAGCATCTCCCCAGAAAATTTGAACTGAATTTCTCTTGAAAGGATGTTTTAGTGCTGCCTTTGCCATCCTGAAGTGACTGAAGTGAGCATTGTTTGGGAATGGGGTGGGTGAGGGCAGGCATCCAATGGGGCTTGAGAGGTGACAGGGATCCCTATTCATGAGGATGCTAATCCCCAGGAGGGAAAAGGCTGTGAACAGCCTTATGTGGCTTTAAGGTTAACCCTTTTGAGAGTATAAAGTTAGACCAAAGACCTTTGTTTGTAATAATTCCTAATCCACTTGTCCCAGCAATGCCCCATGTCCTCCCAGCTGCCTGTGTTCTGTATCCCTCCTCCCAGTGCGTGGAACAGCTCTGTCATTCACTGCTAGTCCCTCACAAAGCCCTCCATAATCACAGGGCTGGTTTAGCGTACTGCAGCCCTGATAATGGGGGAAGGAAGTTTGTTTTGTAATTGGATTAGCACTGCTGGGAACAGCTTGTGCACCGTGTCAGGGCTGAGCTGGTGCAGCCCTGGCCTCGTGTCACTCTGCCTGGCTGTGGGTCAGCTTGGGGCTGTGTTACCCCTGCACAGGACTCCGCTGACCAAAATGATGCTCACAGGGCTGTCTCCCATGAAGACAGGCTGGAGGAGTTCAGGCTGTTAAGCCTGGAGAGGACAAGACTCCAGGGAGACCTTAAAGCCCTTCCCAGTGCCCTCAGGGTCTCCAAGAGAGCTGGAGAGGTACTTTAGACGAGGGCCTGGAGTGACAGGACAGGGGGGAATGGTTTCAAACTGAGAGAGGCCAGGTTTAGATGAGATAAGAAATTCTTGGCTGAGAGGGTGGTGAGGCTCTGGCACAGGTTGCCCAGAGAAGCTGTGGCTGCCCCATCCTTTGAAGTGTTCCAGGCCAGGATGGATGGGACTTGCAGCAGCCTGGGAGAGTGGAAAGTGTCTCTGCCCATGGCAGGGGATTGGAACAAGATGAGCTTTAAGGTCCTTTCCAACACCATTCTATGACTCTATGAAAACATGTAGTTTTGCAGGATGGAGGCAACCAAGAAGGACAAAAGGCTGATACAGGGCAGAATTGGAGTTTGACCACCTGGGGAGGTGGGGTGTTCACTGAATTCTGTCCCTAATTAAACCCTTTGGCTAGTGCCAAGCCTTGCATCACCCATCCCAGCACAGGTCATCAAGGCTCCTTAGTACTTCAGAGGTTGGAGAGAACCAGTAACTGATCCTTGTGGGACTGAGTTAAACCCTCACCGTGTTATCCATGCCCCCTTCCTGCCCCTCTGGCCTGGAGAAGTTCCTTGAAGCCCAAGCCTAGTGATTAGTTTGAAATCCCAGCCCTAGCAGGGATGCTTAAGTTACTTGGGTATCCCTGAGAATGCTGTGTGCTGTGTTTTGCCTCCAACCACAGCAATCTACAGGAGGATCAGATAACAGCTCAGCTGCCAAAGTTTAGAGCAAAGGAGAGAAATTTGCTCCTGATGCCTTCAGGCTGCTAGTGGAATGTTCAGGGTAGCACATACATAGCACACATGTGCAGTGGCACAGACATGTCCCAGCTGAATGCCTACTCTAATCTTTACCTAAAGACCAAATATTTGACCCAAAAGGACAAGTTTCAACTTCTGACTTGGAGAATTCTGTCACTCAGTCCCTTCAGAATGGTTCCCAACATCCTTCCAAACCACTTACTTGCTCCTGGTGTCATGTTTGGAAATTGTCCTAAGATGTCTCTGCTTGGATGCCTCCACCTAATTTTGAGTCTACACCTCTGAGTAGTTCTGTCATTTTTCATGCACAGTTTTGCAGGCCTGTCTTCAAACCACCATGCTCAGGCTCATAGAAGGGGAAATTGTTTAAGCTAAAAGGAACACTGATTTAGATTAGATACAAGAAGTATTTTACAGTGTGGGTGGTAAAACCCTGAGGCAGGTTGCTCAGAGAGGTGGTGGAAGTCCTATGTGTGGAAACGTTCAAGGCCAGGTTGGACAGGGCTTGGAGCAACCTGATCGAAGTAAAGATGTCCCTGCTCACAATAGGACGTTGGACTAGGTGACCTTCTGACCCAAACCTAGGATTCCATGATCTTCCAGGTGAGACCATCCTAGTGCCTTGCTAGTGGTGTGGCTGTGTCCCTCCCCAAAACATCCCAGGCATGATGATTCTACACTACCAGCCCTACACTTCTTGCTGTTAACATCAGTGGGGGCATCCCAAGACTGAGGTGGGGAGCAGTGCTGGAAGCTGCTCAGAGACATCCCTTTAACATAGCCCAGCGTTTTACTTGGTTATCTGGTTCCTCGTGTTAAATCCATACCCATGACTTCAGCATTGGAAACTGCGTCATACTGGGTGCAAATCAAACTTCTTCCTTAAATGTAACCAGGCTAAATTATCATAAAAGCGTAGAATCATAAAATGGTTTGGGTTGGAGGACACCTTAAAGCTCATCTTGTTCCAGCCCTCTCTCATGGGCAGGGACACATTCTACTACAATGCTCTGCATCACCTTGTCAAAGTTAATTATGAAAGATAAATCATTACCTTATCCTGAAACAATGTATCTGTGATAAATTCTGTTTGCATTTGCTTTTCTATCTGGGAGCTGGTTTCCTTCAAAAAAACTTCAGAAAGATAGAAAAGTCCAGATACATTTGAATCCCTCTTTTCCATTTTCTGGATGTGGTAGGCACATTTGTTGCATTTGTTTGAGATTTGAACCATATCCAGGTTTTCTTAAGCCTGGCCCTTCTTTCATAGGGAGGTGACCTTGCTCCTTCCCTCCCTGGTGTCATGCTGACCCTCATCTCATGCACTGACAGTGTGTCCTCAGCCAGTGATTGTACCTCAGTCATTCTGTCCTTCCTGTCCCACTCAGCTTGATGACCTGCACAACCACCAGTCTTTCTCCCGCTGCAGTTACCTCTGCAAGGCACAGCCTGGCCCTGGTGTGCTCCCCTGGCCGTGCACAGCGTGTCCTGGTGCCCAGGGAAGGCTCAGCATCGCTTTGCCTCCATTTAGGGCCATGTCTGAGCAACCCGCAGTTCTTTCTGGTAACTCACTCCAAGGATTGCAGGCTCTCTGCTGCTCCTAGCTCTCTTTTCCTTCTGCTCATGCAGGCTGTTGGAGCCTTCTCTGCCCCCATCTGCTCAGCCCCTCTCTTAAACATGTTCTGCAAGGGCTGAGATGCAGCCTGGCATCAGCATCCCGGGCTGTCCTGGCTCATCCTGCTCTGGAAACCATGGACTGAGTGGTGGTTGGGCTTTAAAGTCCTGCCAGAGGCAATGGAGAGTGTCTTGTGGGCTGCAAGACCCAGGGTCCTCCTCAGTGTCATTTAAGCCAGAGTCCCCTGTGCCACCCAGAGTGCAGCTCCAGTAACTGAGGCCTCCTCAGGGGAGTTTCCCAAGGACTTCCTCTACTGACCTGTTGGACTGGGAGAGCAAAAGGGAGAAACTGAGATAACGGAGCCCCCAGGAATGCTTCAGAGAAAGCCTTGAAGTCCAGAGGAGAAGGTTGTCACTCCACGTTGCAGACTAGGCCCATCCAGGCTTACACCGAGATGTGGGGAAGGTGTGACACAGCTGTGACCTATGAAGGAAGCATGTGAGGGACAGAGTCTCCTGTCCTTTGCCCTGGGAAGGTCTCCAGCCCTGTGCTGGTGACCACAGCACACAGGGAGAGCTGCCAGCTGGAACAGATGGACAGGGAAGGAGGGAGGTACATGCTGAAACTTCTCCAGTTTGTTGTACAGAAGGCAGTTCCTGGTTTTCTCTCTCTCTTTTTTTTTTTTTTTTTGGTTTTGGTTTTGTTGGGGTTTTTTTTTTTTTTTTTTTTTTTTTTTTTTTGTTTTTTTTTGTTTTGTTCCAAGAGAAGGGCTGAGCTGAAAAGCATCTCACTTTCTTCTGCTGTGAGGTGTAGCTGAGCTCTCACATGCCACAGGCTGAGGGAGGTTGTCCATGTGGGACCAAGTCTGGAGACTGCATCACCCACACAATGAGGGCGCTTGGCATTTGCACTCGACTACCAGCCTGTCCCAAAGGAAGTGGCACATCATATACCAGAACAGGCAAGAGATCAAGCACAGGGGTGTTTTTCAGTCCCCCTGTATCACAGACTCTACACTCCCTGCTCAGCTGAGGGTCCCTCTGAAAGTCCAGCTGTTGGGACAACCTTAGGCTCTGTGGCTTCAGCATTGGCAACCCCACAGACAGTGCAGTCACTCATGCTGGAGCAGCTGCTCCCACTCAAAACACAGCAATAATTGTTCTTGCTGGTCTGGTCCTGCTTTGGGCCATAAAGAGCAAGATCCTTCTATCATTATCCATGTCATTCCTGTCTTGGCTTCTGCCATAAATGTCTGTTTGTCAGCCTGGCCATCAAGTCACAAGGTTGGGGCACCCTGACAGACTCACAGGTTGCTTGGGATGTGGAGTGGGAGCATCTGTCTGCTGTGGCTTGGTGTAGGGATGGGATGGGGTCTGTCATGGCAATGCTGGGGGGACACAGTGACCCCTCTGCTCTGTTCCCCATTAACAGCGCAGCTGCAGGGCCTGTGTGTGCTGGGCTGGACCATCCTTCCCTGATGGCAACAGATCATTTCCATTTAGATAGGAGGGATTTCAATCTCAGTTTGCCAGCTCTTCGCCACGGTGCGACTCAAGACCCAAATTTCCTGCTTTTTCCCGCATGATGCCCAGATGCTCTCTGGGCTCAGGGCCTGCAGCGTGTTCAAGGGAGCTGGCGCCCGGCCCAGGGGACAGCTGGGGTGAGGACGTGGGCTCTGTAGCTCCGCGGGTCCCCATGGCACCTCCGCACCCCACACTGCTGCACTGCCCTTCGTGCTCAGCGGATCCCGCTGGGTTCTGCCCTGCCCTGGAGCGGAGGCGCCTGCGGGGAGACCGCGTGGGGGGCAGCGGGGCGGATACGGGGCACTGCACAGCGGGCACCGGGCACTGCACACCGTACACCTCACACCGCACGGTGCACACCTCACCCCTCTCACCTCACAACTCACGCCGCACACCGCACGTCTCTCCTCACACACCGCACCCCTCTCACCTCACGCCGTCACCCCGCGGGCGCTGCGGCCGCTCCAGGCAGGGGCCCGCGGCCGGGGGCGCGGCTGGAGCGCTGCTGCCACCTGCCGGCCGCGCCAGGAGCAACAGGCCCGGAGCGGCGGGGACTGAGCCACTGCCGAACACTGAGGGGGCGCGGCCCGGTGTGAGGGGCGTGTCCCGGTGTGAGGGGGCGTGTCCCGGTGTGAGGGGGCGCGGCCCGGTGTGAGGGGCGTGTCCCGGTGTGAGGGGGCGTGTCCCGGTGTGAGGGGGCGCGGCCCGGTGTGAGGGGCGTGGCCCGGTGTGAGGGGGCGTGGCCCGGTGTGAGGGGGCGTGTCCCGGTGTGAGGGGGCGTGTCCCGGTGTGAGGGGGCGTGTCCCGGTGTGAGGGGCGTGGCCCGTTGCGAGGGGGCGCGGCCCGGTGTGACGGGCGGGGCCGCCAGGGGCGGGACCGCGCAGCCATGTCGGAGGGACCGGCGACAATGGCGGCCCCGGCGCCGATGGCGGAGACGCGGCTGCGGCGGAAGCAGCTGCTGAGCGCGGAGGAGGCGGAGCTGTTCGAACTGGCGCAGGCGGCGGGCAGCGGGCTGGACCCGGAGGTGTTCCGGTGAGCGGTGGGGGCGCCGCCGCGGGAGCCGGCGGTGACGCCGGATCCCCGTCTGACAGGCGCTCCCGCTGCCGGTGTTCCCCTCGCAGGGTGTTGCTGGACCTGCTCCGCATGAACGTGGCGCCGCTCGCCGTGTTCCAGGTGCTGAAGTCGATGTGTGCCGGGCAGCGGCTCCCGCCCGCCGCCGAGAGCGGCCCCGCCGCGCCGTTGCCCGCCGACAGCCGAGGTACGGGGCGGGGCGGGCGGGGCCCTTCCCCGGGGCGGGCCCGCCCCGAGCGCGGCCGGAGCCCGCCGGCCGCCGGCCCCGCGCTGCGCCCGCCGCGGCCCGGGGCGCGCCCGCCGCTGTCCCGCGCCCGGGCCGCCGCGGGAAGGGGCCCGCGGGCCGCCCGGCCCGGCCCCGGCGGCGCCCCGGCCCGGGGGGCCCGCTCCGTGCGAGCCCCGGCCCGGGGGGCCCGCTCCGTGCGAGCCCCGGCCCGGGGAGCCCGCTCCGTGCGAGCCCCGGCCCGGGGGGCCCGCTCCGTGTGAGCCCAAGCCCGGGGGGCCCGCTCCGTGTGAGCCCAAGCCCGGGGGGCCCGCTCCGTGCGAGCCCAAGCCCGGGGAGCCCGCTCCGTGCGAGCCCCGGCCCGGCCCCAGCCCCGTCTGTCTTAGTGCTCGTGGGTTTTAGGCAGCGTGGGAGCTCTGGGGAGGCTGCTGCAGTACTTGTGCTGCGTTTTGTAGCCTCCTGGCTCTGCTCGCCAAGCCCTTAACAGGAGAAAACCACTTTAATCTACAGTAATATTCAGTACTGCTTTGTTTGTATATAACTTTTAAAAAGTTAAAAGTTTTCGGGCTTGTTTGTATATGACTTTTGAAAAGTTAAAGTTTCCGGGCCATGAGGAATCCCTGGAAAAGGAAGAGAGCTGTATTGCTTCCTTTACTCTATCCCCCCATGTTCGTGGTGGCTTCTAACACTCATCCAGCTGTTTCCATCCTCCAGCGATGGAATTTGTGTGGGGAGATGAAGTAGAAGGCTATGGGGGACTGTCAGATAAAGCAGTTACTGCTTTTGAATGCATTTATCTCTCCTTAATACTCTAATGTCCGTGAACAGTAAAAACCATAGCCCTGAATTTGTGCCATATATATATATATATATATATATATATATAATTTTATTTTATTCATAACCAGTTCTAATAAAATTTCCATTTACTCCCTGAAGTGACTTTTTGCTCACCAACTCTGTGGATTACTTCCAAAAGGTTTAAAAATAAGTAACTAAAATAAGTCTGCTGTCACTAAGCCTGGATTCACAGTGGAAAAGTTTATTTCTCTTGTGCTCGAAAGTGTGTCAGACAGGGGCAGTGGTTGGTGGTTGGGCACGTTTATTCTCTTGGCTGTGCTTGCAAGTCATGTCGAAAGTGAAGTTGAGAGGGGGTTTAATTTGAAAAGCAGTCACTTTTGGGATAAAGGAGTTATGCCACAATCTGGTGCTTTTATAATGGCAAAGTTCAAGGTGAATCCCCTCTCTGAGCAGCTGAGGGGAACTTGGGAAGTTTGCTGAAGCTCAGGCAGAGTGTGTGGATAAAGTGTCCAGAGCTCCTTGGACTCGCCATGAACAGGTTTCCCTTTCTCAGGAGGTTCAGAATTCTCTGTAGAGGAGGTGGTTGTGCTGAAGAGAACAACCTCACATGTGACTGAGAAGTGACTCTGAATATGCACAGGGGCAAGAGAGGACAGACACCTGAGTACTTTTTCCTAAACAAAATGGGAGAGGTGCAGCACTTGGATTTTTGTCAAGTGTGAAGCAGTGAGCTATTCTGGTACCCCATTAAGAGGAAATATCCCAAAAGAGCAGAGATTTTGAGCAAAGGATGCTGTTAAATTTTGCTCTGACTCCTCTGTTGCTGCCCCATCTGTTACAGGCTACTCTAACTGCGAAGGGAATGTTGGCGAGGTTTTTGTTCCTGTATGTCTGTAATGTGGAGCAGCTTTTGTTCTCTTATCTATGCTCTTTAAGGGGCACTTTCTGGACAAGTGAGGCTTTTCTTTTCCTAGCACTGAGCTACTGCTATGAGCTAATTTTAGCTAGTAGTGGGCTCGCTCAGGGTGTGAGACAGGCCAATGGCCACTTGATTTTTAATCAGCATTAAATTTCTTGAGAGGGAAAGCCAGAAGCCCTCAGGTAGAGTTGGTATGTGCTTAATTGTTGCCTTCTACTACCCTGCTGCAGGCATCTTCGAGAGGCTGAGACTGCAGGAGTTAGTAGTTGTCTTGAGAGCTTAATTTGGTGCTCTTTCTGCATCTTTAGTAGAGCATCTCCTGGTCTGACTCAGATTTCAGTTCTAATGTGTCCAGCCAGGCTTTTCTCTTTGTAGTATCCCTTTAACATGGACACGTTAATATCCTGGAGTTCTCTGGGACAAGCCCTTGAAACCAAAGGGAAAGTGTAGTGAGGTTCAGGGAAAGATGGTGTTGTTTGTGGTAAATATTTCTGGTATTAGTTTGGCTTTCAGTGGCCAGTTTGGCCAATTGCTCCCTGTGAGCCCCGGCCCAGGGGGCCCGCTCCGTGCGAGTTTAAAATATGTCCTTGGTGCAAGTTAATGCACTGGAATTGCTGAAACAGGAACATTGTGCCCATCAAGCCACAGTTTTGCTGCAGATGTGGTCAAACATTAAATGCTAAGCTTGGATTTCTCTCTTTGCAAGCTGTTGCTTGGAAATGGTTGATGAAGAGGTGCTTGGGTCTCCTCTTTCTTTTCACATTCATCCCTGACCAAATTGCAATGGACAGCACTTCTGTACCTTGTCTGAAGGCTTGGTCTTCCCAGCTGTGTCAGGTTTTTTATTTTCTGTAAGCTTGTGTTAAAGTCCTAACTCACTTAGAATGAAAGCTTCTCTCTTTAGTTTCTGCCATCCCAGGTGACTTTACTGTCACACAGCACCCACTGACATCAGCTAATTCCTTTGGGAATAAAATTGTCATTTAAATATAAATGCTCAGAAAATGCTTTAGGCAGAATTTAAGCTCAACAGGGACTCACAACTTTAGGCCCATGTTTTCATTTCTGTGAGTTTAAGAAGTGCTGTTAAGATCCTGTTAATGTGAAGGACGTATTTTGTCCAGTCCTCCTTGTAAGGATCACAGAATCAGAGAATGGTTTGGGTTGGAAGGGACCTTAAAGCTCATCTCATTCCACCCCCTGCCATGGTCAGAGATACCTTCCACTGTCCCAGGTTGCTCCAAGCCCTGTCCAGCCTGGCCTTGGACACTTTGAGGGATGGGACAGCCACAGCTTCTCTGGGCACCCTGTGCCAGGGCCGCCCCACCCTCACAGGGAAGAATTTCTTTCCAATAGCTGATCTAAACTTAGCATCGTTCAACTTGAAAAAGAATCGCTTCTCTTTCACTGAGCTTTCTCATTCTGGGCACATCCTTCAGGAGTTGGGTAAGTGTTAATAGAGTGTCTGGGGGTGGCCTCTGGGCTGGATCTGTTCTGCAGGACTGTTGGGTTTGCCTTGCCTCCTTTCCCTTTAGAAGCTGCTGTAAAGAGGGAGAACGAACCTAAATGCTGCCTGCTGTTGGCTTTGCAATCTCTTGTTGGAAGATGCTGCTTCCATTTAAGAAGAGGATGGTGCAGCTTCCATGCAGAACCAGGCATTTGGCTAGGGGAGATGCCTCTTCTGCATTGCTGGGATTTGTTTGTGTGGTTACAGCCCAAGCTCTGTGCTTGTGACAAGAACAGCAATTGTCCTGTGCAAGCTTCTCAAGCTGCTTTGTGCCTTTCAGCTCAGCCCCTGCACTCCCTCCCTGTCAGGAGGTAGACAAGTGGCTGAAGGAATCCTGGTCTCACCCAAGCCTGCTCTGCTCCATTTGTATCAGTAGTGAGGTCCTGGCTGAGGCTTCCCAGCACATTGTGGTGGAGGGAGGCTTTAAAAAACAGCTAAAATAAGGCTGATGCAGAGTTCTGATCAGTACTCTTGGTGGTGGGGGATGCCTGTAGTTATTTCAGCTTTTGTGCTGATGAAGCATCAGGGAGTCTGAAATTAGGAGCTCTGATTTTCCCAGAGAACACAGCCATGGCGTTCTCTGTTGGCTGGTAACTGAATCCATGACAGCTGCCTGCAAATTGCTGTGTGGGTATTGGAGCGTCCATCTGGCATATTTAGCTGGATGCAACTTAATTCGAGCTACGTTTAAAATGGTCCCTCAGCATTTCATTTGGGAGGTAAAGTGCTGGATTGAAATAGAAAGAATTTCCAGTGTCCTTTCCCTGTGTGTGAGGGGGAGGGTTCTGTTAAGGACTGTGGTGTTGAGTTTGGCCTAGACTAGACATATATGTAATAAAGTATCCTATTTTTTCATATACTATTTCTGTGCTTTCAGCCAACCCTCAAGTCCCTGCAGGTTCCCCTGAAGTTCTCTACCTCTATACACATGCATATGTCAATGCCCTGCTCTTTTTTTAGGCTGATGAATAGTCTTGATACTTCTCTCACTCTTTGCATTCCAACCTATTTTTTTACATTCCTCACTTCTCCAGAAAGAGTGTCTTCCCATAAAATTACTTCCCGAAGCTTTGTCCCAGCTAATTTCTCTTCTGAATGCGTTGTTAACATGAACTTGGTTTTCAAAAC